GGGCGCATCGTAATTCACCATGGGTCGCGCCCCTGAGAGCGCGGAAGCAGCGCAGCTTACAGGTGGTCGGGCCCTAGGAGCGCGGGCGCAGCGTGAATTCGTAGGGATTGTGGCCCTGGGAATTCGAACCCAAAGCAATTTACCTTGATCGTGGCCCTGAGAACGCAGACGCAGTGCAATTCACGAAAGACCAGAGCGCTGGGAGCGCGGACCCAGCGTAATTGACTACGGAATGTGGCGGTGGGAGCGCGGATACAGTGTATTTTGCGAGAGCTCGTGGCGCTGGGATTTGAGATCCAATATAATTTACAAGGTATCGCGGCTCTCGGAACGCACACCCAGTGAAATTTCATCGGGATCGTGGCCTTGGGGGCGGGCTTCCAACGGAGAAGACATGCACAGCAGGCTGGGTCGTCCTCAGGTTCGTTCCTTAGCACGGTCCCTGGCGCGTCCCCTGGCACGTCCCCTCGCACGTTACGTGGTGCGTCCCCTTGCATTCGCGTCCCCTGGCACGTCTGCGGTACGTCCCCTGTCCAAGGGCACATCTTTGAGCGCCACGTCCATTGGCGCGAACCGTGGCACGTTCCCTGGCTCGGTCCCCGGGTCTCTGGCGCTTCCCTGTCCGTTCCGTGACGCGACTCCTGGCGCGTCCCGTGCCGCGTCCCATGGCGCGTCCCCCGGCGCGTCTCCTGGGACCTCCCGTGGCATGACGCCCCATGGCACGCCCCCTGACGCCCCTCGGTACGTCCCGCGGCAGGTCTCTGACGCGACCACGGCACAAGTCCCTTGACACGTCGCCTGGCGCATACATTGGTGGGCCCCTGGCACATTCCGTGGCACGTCCACGCACCCTGCGCCCCCAGTCGGTTCGTACAGCTTCGGCGCCGAATCGAATCATGAGCACGAGCTGGTTGAGCGCCCCGCACGTTTCAACTATAACCAGCTCTCGGCGAGCCATACGTTCATGCAGCTCGAGCTAAAATCCACATCAGCTCGATCAAGAGGAGGATGCAAAAGACGGCCAGATCCACAACGCAATAGAGCACAGCATTGTTCAACCCAGTATGCAAAAGGCACAGCCCTGCACAGCGCGGCATAGCATGACGCAGCGCAGTACAGCCCTTTGCATGGTATCATCACCATGGGTCTCCTCAGCATTGCTATTGCCCATGTCTCAAGTTATGGCAGCTCTAAATCCCTTTCCGCGTTCGTGGATCGAGGGAAGCCTGATTGGCGTGGGTATGGGCCATGAGCGTCGCGCGCGTTTTCCGAAAATTGCAAACTAAACTCTCGAGAAGCCGACCAAGTCTGTGCGCTGAGAGTTGGCGATTGCCACATCACAGTTACCGCAGCATGCTGCACTGCACTGCCAGAAACTCAGCCCCACATGTGCTAAAATCTATTCCTCGCAGTTTGATGGCCCCCGCAAGGGGGGCAGGCAGATTGTGATGAGCCGGGGAGCTAGCCTGTCCCCAATCATGCGCTGCATGGCGTGGCTACGATGCATCGGACAGATGTGACTCCGCCAAAGGGACTCCGCCAAAGGATTGGCCCCGAAGCATGCAAATCCTCATGGCATCAAGCCAGCACCGATGGGATTGCCCTGCTGCGCATGACTTGGTGAGGTGGGCCTGGAGTTGTGGATCAGTCTGGTCCATCAGATCTTGCGATTTCGATTTTGCGAATGGATGGGCCATTGAGCAAGCATCGTGGGATATTGAAGTGTCTCCTGGATGTGTTTTGGACACCTTCTAAGCCGTTCTCTCCTGGGGAAGATTCCCACCTCCTCCTCCTCCTCCTCCCCTTCATCGTCGCCGTTCTCTTCCTTCTCCCCTTCCGTCCTTTCGGGGAAAGGCGGATGGCGAACTGGGAAGGAGGGTGAGGGGGGGGCGGTCCAGATGGCTCTGGACTGGTTGATTTGACAGTACCTGATCGCTACCTGCGAGCGTGCACAATTAGCGATGTACCCCGCGGCAGCGCCGCTCGAACTCCTCCGTGGTGTTCTTCCTCCTCTTCCGCCGCGTGCTCCCCATCCCCCCCTCGTTCTCGCCCTCCCTCTCCTCGTCCTGCTCGACCCCCTCGTCCTCCCTTTTCGTTCTAACCCTCCAACGCCCGCTTGTTGAGCCTGTTATCCGAGGTGGTGCCCGCGGCATGCCCGTTGGAATGTGGAGACCAGAAGGGGAGAGCATCCGCTGCGTCGGGCTGGCCGACGAGGGCTCGAAGCAGGCCTCTGCGCCGCAAAGTCTTTCTCGACCCATCTATGTGTTCCCTCTCCTCCTCCTCCTCCTGCTCCTCCTGCTCCTCCTCCTCCTCCTGCTCCTCCTCCTTCTCCTGGTCCTCCCTTGACGACGCGTCGATCACACAGGAATTTAATGCTTCGGGCGCAGCGGCCTTCGTGGGAAGGCGCATTCCCGCTGCGCGAACCTCAAAGGTGCATGTGGCACGCTGGACACTTGGTTCCTCAGGTCTACGAGAGTATTGTCGTCGGACCTGTTGAACCAGTCTGCATCGAGGTACAAGCTGAGCCAGACCCTCTTCATGCCGATGGACCTGACCATGAGCCCGTTCCAGCCGATGGATCCTGTTCATGCCGATGGAACTTCTACTGAGCCAGTTCGCGCCGATGTGCCTGCAGAGCCAGACCCTGCTCAAGCCGATGCACCCGCTGCTGAATCCGTTCAGGCCGATGGACCTGCGGAGCCAGACCATGGTCGAGGCAATGGACCTGCAGCTGGACCAGTTCGCCCGGAGGTCCCTGCTGAGCCACAAGATCTTCGCGGCACGGCGGTGTGCACGGGCGGCGTGATAGATTGGCTCAGCCGTTTCATGGTGGTATTCGGCGTGCCGTACCCGGGCCTGCACGGCGCCTGCAAGTTCTTCGGCGTTGTCTGCCTCGCCGGCTTCCTGAGCGTGTACGTCCCTGTTCATGCCGAGGGTCCTCATGAACCAGTTCGCCCTGATACACCTGCAGAGCCAGACCCTGAAGACCATGCTGCTACACCCGTTCATGCTGATGGAGCAGTTGAGCCAGACCCGGTGCATGCCGACGGGCCTGGGCCTGCCGTTGCACCTTGTTCGCGCCGATGGGCAAGCTGAGTCAGTCTATTGTCGCCGTGCTGGAGATCGGCTTCGTGACCATGTATGGCAGCGGGAGGATCGCCATGCTGGGCAGCCTGAGCGGGAGGTGAGGGAGTCCACGCAAGGCAATGTGAGCGAGGAGCAGAGAGCATATACGCGCGATTGCGGTGCAGCTGGTCTCTTGGTCGCTCATAGGTCCCGCCACCCACTAATTTTTCAGACGGCGGCGGATGATCGATGGCGGCAGCGATCATGCGCTGATGGGGGTCTTAACACCTCCATTGCGAGTTCTCCCTGTCTCTAGCTCCCCTCTCGTTTCTGTATGCCTCGTCTTTCCCTGGCGCTTTGGCGTCCCCGCTACAATGTAGTATTTCTCTGATTCCTCCCTCGTCGCACGCGCGTGCCTCTTGAGGCGAGGGCCTGACCAATTCCTCCCTCGCCGCACGCTCGTGCCGCTTGAGGTGAGGGCTTACACGACGGGCTGCTTCAACTTTCGAGGGCTCTGCTGGTGGCGCAAGTGGCCACGGCATGCGCTGCCCCTCGGGAGGCCAGAAAGGGTCCCTGGCACCATCCAGCAGGAGCATGCGCTGAGCTGGAGACTGTGCGCCACGTTTACGTCGTCTCCTCCACCTGGTCCTCCCCCTCCTCTTTCCAATTCGTCCCCCTCGTCCTCGTCACCCCTTCCTCGTCCGCGGGCCCCTTCCTCGGCCGCACGACCGCCCGCGCCGTGCTCCTCGTCGTCGTCGGCACTGCCGCCGTCGCCGCCGTTGTCGCCGCCTTTGCCGCCGTCGTTGCCGCCGCTGTCGCCTTCGCTGCCGCCGCCGCCGTCGCCGCGGCCGTCGTCGCCGCGTGGCGGTGAGCGGATGCGCGCGGGGCGGTTCAGATTGATTGGAGCGGGGATGATCGGAATAGGAGGCCCGCGTGGGGGTGGGAGTCCGATGCTTGTTCGTTTGCGTGGATCGTTTGCTCCTGTTGGGGCAAGTTTGAAGCTCGCATGGGGGTGGGGGAGTTCGACGCACGAGCCTGGCCCCAGCCAGGTTGTTAGCGGATGGCAAACATGGCACGCAGCACTTCAAGCAGTGGCGAAGCGTCCTGTGTCGCATATAGCCCCACCAAACAATGTTCTAAGAACCTGTTGTGGTTTCCACGAAATGTTCTTAGAACATTTCTGGTGGAGATTGTCCTGTTTTAACACGTCGGGCTTATGTTCTAAGAACATCGTTTTCGTTCTTAGTACACTCTCGGGCTCCAAGAACCTTTCGTGGTAGGACTATAAGAATGCCGGGACGGTCGGTCCCTGCTCAGAGCAGGCGCGCAACGCCGTGTCGTTCACCCCTTGAGGGATCCAAAAGCGCCACGGAGGAAATGCAGGCCTCGCTGGTGTGCCGGCGCGGCGGGCCTCTCCCGGCGGGCCGGCTGCAGGCTGCTGGCTTCGGCCGGCAGCGCGATGGTGCTGCTGCGGCACAGAGCGGCTTCGGACTTGGCGCTGCTGGCCCGCACGGTGCGGCATCCCTGCGGCCGGCTCCGGGGCGCTGGACGCGGCGTCGGCCACGGAGGCGCAGCACGCCCTGCCGCACGGACAGCACTGGGGCGGGCAATTGCGGTCGGAAGCAGCTCTTCGTCGGCGGACGAGAGGGAGGCGAGCCGCTACAGAGCGCAAAGGTGACGGCGCCGGCAGCGCACGCCGCCTCTTGGCACCTCTGTCTGCCGTACTGCCTGCGCCACCTGGGCCTGACGGACGCGAGCGCCCTGACCGCCCTAGGGCCCCTGTGTGCGCCGCTGCCTCCCGGCAGCAATGGCCACGTCACCGGCAGCGCTGGAGGGCGCGACCGCCCAGGTGGGCGACGAGGCCCCGGCAGCAACGCAGCATTCTTGGCTACGGCCCAAATTGCTGATGCTGCCCACCTGGTCGCGGGCTTGGCGGCGGGCGAGGGCCCCAGCGCGGCCGCGGCCTCGCGCTCGGCTGGCGGAATGGGGGCGCACGGCCAGCTAGAGGCGCCCACGCGAGCGCACCACCGAGGCGCAGCCTTGCCGCCACTGCGCGGGCGGGCCACCGCGGGGCGCGGCGCCGGCGCCGCAGTTGCCGCTGCTGCTGCCGCTCTGGCGCGGGCGAGGGGTGCGCGGGCCAGCGGCGCCGGGCCCTCCGGGTCGGGGCCGCGCGCGGGCTCCCGCGTCGCGGTCCACGCGGCGCCCCCGCGCATGCCCAGTCTATAGGGCCCTGGCCGGCGCCCCCCCTTTCGCTGCAAGGGGCGGCCGTCGTCCTCGAGGGAGGATCCCGTCTGGCGGATGGTGGGGGAGCGCGCCGGCTCCCGATGAAAGAGCTTCGGGCGCGCGGCACAGACGCGCGGCCGGCCGGAGGAAGAGGAGGAGGAGGAGGAGGCGGAGGAGGAGGAGGAGGAGGAGGAGGAGGAGGGGGAGGAGGGAGGAGGCGGAGGAGGAGGAGGAGGAGGAGGAGGAGGAGGAGGAGGAAGGAGGAGAGAGGAGGAGGAGGAGGAGGAGGAGAGGAGGAGAGGAGGAGGAGGGGGAGGAGGAGGGGGAGGACGGAGGAGGAGGAGGAGGAGGGAGGAGGAGGAGGAGGAGAAGGATGAGGAGGAGGAGGAGGAGAGGAGGGGGAGGAGGAGAAGGAGGAGGAGGAGGGAGGAGGAGGAGGAGGAGGAGGAGGAGGAGGAGAGGGAGGAGGAGGAGGAGGAGGAGGAGGAGGAGGAGGAGGAGGCGGAGGACTGTAGAAACGAGAAGGAGAAGGAGGAGCAGGAAAAGGAGGAGGAGAAGGAGGAGGAGGAGGGGGGGACAGTTACAGGTCTGACGGGGGCAACCTTTGAGGGGGCTGGAGAGGGCGCGCGCTGCCAGGCCGACGCGCTGCCGCAGGTTCTGGACAGCTTGGAGACAGTGGAAAACCACGACGAGACCGTCCTCGGCCTCTGGACTGGGGGGCCCGCCAGGGTCCGCTTCGACCCGATCGATCCGGTTCGGTGTCGACTTCGGCAGGTACGATCTGGTCACAAAAAGGTTCGAGTCGCGGGAAAAATACATGATGGAAGTTTTCTGCAGTTTTCGGCCTTTGGTGGCCCTCTCCGAGCCCCGGAACCGTCAACCAATGATTCTATATGAACAAGCGGAGCTGGGGTAGGGTCTGGATGTCGGGGGACCCCATGTTGAAAAGAACAGCAACAACAGACAACCGCAACCATGCAACACGACAAGAAGCTCAAAACAAATACACAACAAGACAGCACCACCACAAATCAATAACGACAAATAAACAGCAACAACAAACAATACACAAACAACCAAACAACCAGCCAAACAACACAAACAACACAAACAGCACAAACAACACAAACAGCACAAGCAACACAAAAACAAACTCGCGCCTGGGGCTCGATCCCGCAATGCTGACGGTCCGTTCCGGCCCGATGCTCGCACGGCGTTGTTTTGCATCTTGTGTAACTAGCTCAGCGGATCCGAGTCGATGTTGACCCCGTGCCGATGCAGCCCGACCCGACGCACGATCCGATTCGATCCGACTTCCTGGCTCGATGCTGACCGACGAGCGCGCGTTCGGCCCCCACCCCCTTCCCCCGGCCTCAAAGTTGGCTCTGGACTCGCGGGGGCTCCGGGGCCTCTCCGCTGTCTTCGTTCCTTCGACCCTGTGCTGAACGCGCGTCCCGGGGCGAGAAACCGAGATTGGGTCGGGGGCCCCCGATCGTAGCGGTGACCGCACCGTGCGGTGAGTTGGTGGGGATTCGGGGTTAACGCACGGTTTTGGGACTCGGGTCGTTCTCCGAGGACGTCTCGGGCGACTGGGGCATCCGAGGTCCCAAGACCGTGCGGTGACGGACCCAGCGGTGAGGTCTTGGGGGATGTTCGAGGTCACCGCACGGTCTGTCTCCGCACCGCTTCGGGACTCCAGAGAAGGGGCCCGGACGGGACCAGGAAGTCAGAGGAGGAAGTTCTCCCTTTTTGTTGGGCCTCCTGGGCTGTATCGTCGCCACCGTTGGATTCGCCTCGAAGTGTGGGTCAGAACGCACCCCTCGAGGGGGGGGGGGGCAGCGGCCGCCGCCGCCGCAGGCCTCACGCCACGCTGGAGCCGCCTGGGGGCGCCGAGGTGTCCCGGCGCCGGCTCCGGCCAGCAGAGAGACTCTATAGTTCAGTCGGGCCTGTCCCTTTGCAGGAGCAACATCCAAAAATGGTCAACAAAAACACTATGGGACGATTCTATAGGCTTACGCCACATCCGCCGACCCCTACATAAAACGAGTGCGCCTCCAGGACTGCGTTTCACGAGGCTTGTCCGAATCACGACACGGCGCTCGACATCGTTCCTGTTGCTTCGTTGCTGTTATCGTACCTCTTGGTGTTTTTTGGTGGCCTTTTGGTGACATCTTGGCCTGTCTGTAAGCCATGTCCGGCCGCCTCGAGGCATCTTGGGCCAAGTTTTGGAGCCTCTTGGCGGCCTCCTGGGGGCTTCTTGGAGGCCTGTGAGGTTGTTATTGGGGCAGGCTGGGGGCGTCTTGGGGCCGAAGGCTTGAACAGGTGCCCTCTGGACTCCCTCTTGGAGCCGTCTGGGGGCCCTCTTGGGCTGTCTTTGGGGCTTCGTAGGCTGTTTTTGGACTCTCTTCGACCCCTCTTGGGGGCCCCTTGGGCCGTTCGGGGGCGACATTGAAGGTTTCTTTGCCCATCTTGGACGTTGTGACAGCCGAAAAGGCGAGCATGCGAAAAATGCAGTTTTTTCCCAAGGGAATGAGGCGATTTCTGTTTCTTGGGACCCTCTTTGGACGCATCTTGGGAGCTTGTTGGGGCGCCTTGCCAGCTTCGGGGGCCGTCTGAAGGCCATCGTGAGCGTCACAAGGAGCGATATTTCGGCGATTCGTTGCCCTCTGGGAGCGTCTGGGGAGCGTTTTGATGCCTTCTTGGCCTGCTTTGGAGCACTCCGCTCCCCCATTGCGCGTTCGGTCCGGGGTCGGGCCGGGCCTGGAGGGGGTTAATTTGCCGGTTTGGGGTCCTTGGGGCGGAGGATTATGGGGGAAATCATCTCACACGCCTAGAGACCCACAAGGAGTCGGCGGATTTTAAAGCTATGTTCCGGTATTTTTAGAATGTGTTGATTTGTCATCCAAAAACCCCCTGTATGAGGACACGCCCGGCTTAACTTTATAGGCCTCCCAGATGGGATCAGAGTAGTTGGGGTCGGAGGATCGCGCCGCATCGCCGATGCATCGCCAATGCGGCACCATGCGGAGCCCGACTTTCTTCGCGCGGACGTCGCCTATGCATCGCCGGCGTCGCCGATGCATCGCCATCTGGGGGCGGCGGCGGCGCCGAGGTGTCCCGGCGCCGGCTCCGGGCGCTGGGTCTTGTAGGATCCTGCAGGGCCAGGGTTGCATTGACCCAGTTCTGGGCGCAGGATCCTGCAGGACCCTGCGAGGCCTGCCTGACCCGGGCTTGGATTGGCCCGGGTCAGAGCACTCCCGAGGCGGGAGGAAGGGGCTCGGACGGGGTCAGGAAAAAGATCAGTCCGTTCCCCTTCGCGCTGTGAAAAATCACGTCGGGGGGTTTTGGCTATATCAGGCCTCCGAGGACCCTTCCTGGCCTCGGGACCGGCAAAAAACAACTCAGGATGAAAAACTGGTCCTGGTGAAGGGGTCGAGACTTTTGGGGTTCGACGCTGCGAAAAGTCACGACGTCAGGGGTCTGGGGACGGGGCCAGGAAGAGGATAAATCCGTTCCGGAGCGCTCTGGAACGCTCGGCTTGGGGACGGGGCCAGGAAGAGGATACATCCGCTCCAGAGCGTTCCGGAACGCTCTCCGAGGGTCCGGGAATGCTCTGAGAGGGCCGCACGCTGCCCGAGCCATCGACTGCAGAGCCGTCGGATCTCAGAGGTTTCGATTCGTCCTCACCCGAATGCATCCTCTCAGGAGGAGAACACACAGACACAATTAATCGTCGACTCCCCCGAAAATATGGGAAAATATGGGAAGTGGCGGGGAAGACAAAAACCCAGAAAATATGAGAAAATATGGGGAATGATTTTATTTGTGTGTATTTATGTGTGTGTGTGTGTCCTGGGGCCCCTTCATCCTCGTCCTGGCTTCTTCTCAGGGGCCCCCTCGTCGGCCACGGCTGGGCGTGGCTCGAAGCACCGGCCGGCTTCGACCCCAGGAGGGGCTCTGGCTCCGGACGCCGAGCGGGGGTGGCCTCGCGCCCGCCAAGCAGGCCAGGAAGTAGGAAGAGCACGACATGGAGTAAGAGGAGACATCGAAGTAGGAAGAGGGTAGCGGTAAGTTCCAGGTAGTAACGCTGGATAAATGACGCGGCCCGCGCCGTGCGGCTCTGGCGCTCTCAGGATCAGCTGTTCACAGCCAGTGCACGTAACGAGCGAGGCCGACCTCGCCCACCAGATTTATCCATTGTCCTTCCTGCTCCATGCAGCGCGGGAGCTAAACGCCCGCAGTCTGTTCTCGAGGCCCGGCCAGCGCAGGAAGGCGTCGGGATGCCAGAGAAGGCCCCCCAACGCCGGAAGCCTCAGGCGCCACGTTGGGGGGGTGAATATCGGGCCGGACGAAGGGGGGGATTGAGAAAGGGGGGGGTGCGGAATCTGCTGCATGCAGCTGGTTTTGGGCCCCATCGAGGGGCCCATTCCTCGATACATAGCCACCTCTGGCGCCGGGAGGCGCCGGGAAAATCAGCTACGTGAGCTGATTCTCAACCCCCCCCTTTGCTATTCCCCCCCTTTTGCCCGGCCCAAGAATAGCATCGGGGGGGGTGCATCGATCTTCAGCGCCGATTCCTCGCCGGTCGGGGTCCGATAGCCCACCCCGCCCATGGACGTGCCGTCGGGGGCCTACCGCCGAGAAACACGCGATGCATCGCCGATTCCACGTCAACGTTCCCCCCCTGAGGCAGCCCCCCCCCCCCTTCTCATGTCCCCTCCGCCAGTCGACCTCCCCCGAAACCGCGCGCGACGCTGCTCGTCCTCCCCGCCCGCCGGCATCGGGAGGATCACGCTGGCGCTGTCCGTCCTGATCTTCGTGCTCTCCCCGTGGACCCTGCCGAAGCTCGTCGGGGCCTCCCGCGGGTCGCGGCTGGGCGCTCCGCCCCGCCCCCGCCTCGCCCCCCCCCCCCCCCCCCCCCCCTCCCTGAGCGGGCCGTTGGCCACTGGCCTCCTGTTGCGATTCACCGAGGGCATTTGGGGATCGACCCTTTCTTCTCCTCCTCCTCTCCTCCTCCTCCTTCCTCCTCTCCTCCCCTCCTCCTCCTCTGCCTCCTCCCTCCTCCTCCTCTCCTCCTCCCCCTCTCCTCCTCCTCCTCCGCCTCCTCCTCCCTCCTTCCTCATTCTCCCCTCTTCCTCCTCCTCTCCTCTACTCCTCCTTTCCTCCCCGTCCTCCTCCTCCTCCTCCTCCTCCTCCTCCTCCTCCTCCTCCTCCTCCTCCCCCTGTTCTGTTCCATGGCCATGGGGGGGCTGATCCGCGGGCTGCATACAAATTCCCCTTCCTACCCCCTTTCCTCCTTCCTCCCCCCTTCCTCCTCCTCCTCCTCCTCCTCCTCCTCCTCCTCCTCCTCCTCCTCCTCCCCCTGTTCTGTTCCATGGCCATGGGGGGGCTGATCCGCGGGCTGCATACAAATTCAGAGAAGAGAGAGAGAGAGAGCTTACCTGCCGCAAAAAGTCTTGCTCGCACTTCCCGAGCATGTGCGCATCGAGGTACGGGTCCAGGAGACAGAAGAGTCTCTCCAGATCAGGAACGCGGGGGAGGTGGAGGGTCACATCAGACATGTCGGCACCGCAGACCTCACCTCTCCCTTTCTCGCTTCTGACTGCATTGCAACGCAGAGTGCCTGGCAGGGAACGCGCATGGTTCCTGAGGGTATTGCTTGGCCTGCTGTGTGTGCCAGCGATGTGCCAGCGGCCGCCTGTCATTCCGTCGAGCACCTTGTGTTCACCTGTGTGGCAGCGTGGCATCTGCGATGTCCCTTGGGCGAGGCTGGGCAGATTTATTGCCAGAAGCTGTGCTGTCTTCGTCGGCTGCGAGCCGAACCTGCACTGATCAATGAAAACGCTCTGGACGCAAAAAACACGGGTTTCAAGCTCTCTGAGGTGTCTGGCTTCTTTGAGAAACCAAGAGCTCGGATCATTTGAGTTTGAAGGGCACGCTGGATGTTCCAACACACCAATCGCTCCCGTGGCAAGACGCACATACATGAAATAGAGAGATCCTCCGTACAGATCGTTCGCTGTGACCATCTGGCGCCACAATCTGGAGGTGGCAAGCGGCCGTCCCCATAGGTAATGTACGGAACGGAGCGGCCTGGATGTCGGGCATTCGGGGGCATCCAAGTATCGAGCAGCAGACCAGGTCTCGCAGGGCGGTCCAATCATAGCCTCCAGAGCACGGCCTTGGAAAAACAAAACCGAAAGCTGTTCTCGTGCTTCGGGCGACCCCGGGTCACCGTTCACGGGGTCGTTTCTCATGCCTACGGACAGCACAGCCACTGGGCCAGTCTCTGGGCCCATCTTCTGAAAAAAAGCTCCAAGCAGCGCTGAACATCTCCGGGCCTGCGTTGCCCGCTGAACAGATGCAGCATATCACGGGCCCGGTTGGGTCTGACACTACGCAGGCTATCTATACACAAGCCTTGTTACGTCTAGCGCTGGCGAGTGCGAGCCGTCTCCGTGAGCTGGCGGCACAGGGGGGGGGGTTCTCCCTCGACGTCCTCCTCCTTGGAGTGCTGCCGTTGCTTCCCTCCCTTCCGGCACCCTTCCGCCCGCTCCGATGTGCTGGAAACCCGTTCCTGGACGGAGTCCCCGGGGACTCTCGCCGATCTGCGGCTCAGGACCGACGCGCTTCAGGACCCGAGCTCAAGCCACGGGCGAAGCCTCGCGCGCACTTCTGCAGTCTTGCAGGACTTCGTTGGCCGTCTGCCTTGGCAATCTGAGACGTGCCGCCGCCCCCCTCGAGCGCGCACGCGGCCGCGCCGCAGGGCGGGCTGGGGCCCGAGCACTCGGCCGCACCATCAGAGGCCGGGAGCCGAGTGAAGCTGCCCAGGAAGGCCCTTCAGGGGCCAACGCCTTGCCACTCGAGGGCCAGCTTCGTGCCCGAGGTCTTCCTCCCTCCCTGCCCTCGTCCCCCCTTCCCCTGTCCTCTACCTCCCTTCTCCTCGTGCTCCTCCTCCCTCCGCCTCCGTCCTCCTGCCCCTGCTTCTCCTCCTCTCTCCTCCTCCTCCTCCTCCTCCTCCTCCTCCTCCTCCTCCTCCTCCTCCTCCTCCTCCTCCTCCTCCCACTCCTGCCTCCTCCTCCTCCTCTCTCCTCCTCATCCTCCTCTCCTCCTCCTGCATCCTCCTCCTCTCCTCGTCTCCTCCTCCTCCTCCTCCTCCTCCCCTCCCTCCTCCTCTCCTCCTCCTCTCCTCCTCCTCCCTCCTCCTCCTCATCGTCCTCCTCCTCCTCCTCCTCCTCCTCCTCGTTGTCTTCCTCCTCCTCCTCCTCCTGCTCCTCCTCCTCCTGCTGTTGCTCCTTCTCCCCCTGTTCCTGCTCCGGCCTCCTCCTTCCTCCTCCTCCTCCTCCTCCTCCTCCTCGTTCTCCATTCCCTTCCTTGTAGGTCATTCCTCTGTGTATCACCCCGTGGCTGGTTGCAAGGGCGGGCCCGGCGTTTCGCTTGGGACTTCCGTAACATGTATGATCCTGAAGCTTACGAGTTGGCAACAGCTTCACTGACGGAGGGCGTGCAGTTTTCAAAATGTGTATCTCGCCTTCGCGCCGCGCACATTCGTCTCAAAAAAATACCAGAGCTTTACGGATTAAGGGCGGGTCGTTTTCAGAATGTGGATCCCGCCCCAGCGCCGTCCACATTCTTTTTCAACATTTTCCAAAGCTTCACGGATTGAGGGCGGGTCGTTTTCAAAATGTGGTTCTCGCCCCAGCGCCGCCCAAATTCTTTGTAGACAGTATCAAGAGCTTCCCGGATTGAGGGCGGGTGGTTTTCAAAATGTGGCTCTCGCTCCACCGCCGCGCACATTCGTTACACAAATTGGCAGAGGTTCACAGTTTGACTGAGGGCGGTTCATTTATACAATGTGCTCTCGCCTTATCGCCGCGCTCACTCGTTGCAAACAATTTCAAGGGCTTCACCGAGTGAGGGCGGGTGGCTTCCAAAATATGCGTCTCGCCGTAGCGCCGCGCACACTCGTTTTTTTTTACAGTTGCAAGACAATATCAGACTCCCATGGCTCACGTACCAGAAGCGGCGCTTTGGAACGATTCCGGATTGTCAGGGCGCAACATGTTCGTTGATTCGTTGCGTTGAAATCCTAGGGTTGGTGTGTCCTTGCACGCTTCAGGATGGTCAAACCGCAGCAATCATGCTGCATGGTGGCATTGAAGTTCCGATAGTGCTGTTTGAGCACGCTTCAGGATCTTCAAATGTTTGTCTCCCAACGGGGAACTTCCTTCAGTGAAAATCCATCCTTGTGGGGGCCTATGAAGAGGGATATTGGAGGGCGGGTTTATTCCAACGTCGTTGGTGAGTCTTTGGTTTACATTGGTCCTCATCCTCCTCATCATCATCATCCTCTTCCCCCCAAACTTCCCATTATCCCTGTCCTCCCGCTTAGCTATTTCTGCGCAGCGGCGCCGTTGTGCTGCTGAGGTGCGCGCGCGCACCCGCCCTCCAGGCTTCGCGACGTTCGCGCCGGGCTACTTCTGGCCGGCATTCCTGGGAGACCTTGCCCGCGATGCTTCTCCAGGGAGCACGGAGGAGGCGGAGAAGCAGGAGTGGGCGGAGGAGGAGGAAGAGGAGGAGGAGGAGGAGGAAGAGGAAGACGGGAAAAGGGGCAGAGGAGGGAGGGAAGAGGATTTGGCGGCGCGCACAAGGGGGTAGGGGGAGGGGGGAAGGCTTCTGAGAAGGAGGCTGCTTCTCAGAAGGCGCCGGCCCTACGTCTGCAAAGAAGGCCCGCGCCTTCTAAGAAGCAGGGGTGCTTCTAAGAAGCCCTCCCCCTCCCCCCACCCCCCTCTGCGCGTGGCTGATCTTGGGCCTCCCTGAGGCCGTCCTGGAGGTCTGCTGAGCCGCCTCGGGGTCTCCTGTGCCTCTGATGGGGCCTCGCTGGGCCGTCACGAGAAGCCCGCGGGGCTTTCTGCCCGCATAGCAGGGGTGCTTCTCAGAAGCCCTCCCCCCTCCCCCCTCTGCGCGTGGCTGGAGGGTGGAGGGACGAGGCCAGAGGAGCCGCACGCGCGACGACTTCCGGCCCCCGAGCGGGCGGCCCGCAAGGGGGGGGGGGGGAGCGCGGCCGGCTCGGCCCGCGTGACCGCCCAAGGCGCGCGGAAGGAGGAAAGGTAGGACGGAGACGAGAGACTTCTCCTCCTCCTCCTCCTCCCTCCTCCTCCTCCTCCTCCTCCTCCATCCTCCTCCCTCCTCCTCCCTCCTCCTCCTACCCCTCCTCCTCCTCCTCATCCTCCTCCTCCTCCTCCTCCTGCTCGTCCTCCTCCTCCTCCTCCTCCTCCTCCTCCTCATCATCATCATCATCCTCCTCCTCCTCCTCCTCCCTATCTTCCTATTCCTCCCCATCCTCCTCCTCCTGATCCGCCTCCTCCCCTTCGAGACCCCCACCAAATTACCACCCCAGTGGGGGATGCACCCCTCGAATCGCGAAGGGAACGACCTGTATCCCCATTTCGGGAGTAGATCGGCCAGTGGGGCCCAGGCCACGCCGCTGGGGATGGGGATCGGTTGAACGATACTCATGATGAGGATGAGGATTGGGGGGGGCGGGGGAGGACGGGGAGAAGGACGAGGACGAGGACGAGGAGGGAGGACCGGGAGGGAGGGCCAGGAGGAGGAGAAAAGTCCTGCGTAAGCCCAGGATGCATCAACGATGCTGCAACACCCTCCTGTCCCAAGTCCCCCCTTTCAGGCGATCGCAAACATGGATCAAGGGGGCGTGGATTAGCGACGGGTCCCGTTTCCATGGAACATCGCAGATTCCCGCCGCCGAACGAGGTGGCACCGGCCGTTTTTTGGGGGAGGGCACCTCCCCCAGATTTGGCGACCGCGCGCCAAATCCACGGATCGCTAATCCATGCTTGCGCGCCCCCGACAGGAGGAGGGGGGAAGTCCAGAGTAAACCCAAGATGCATCAACGATGCTGCAACACACCCTCCCGTCCCACGTCCCCTCTTTTTTAGATTACATTTGATGTGTACAATTCATTTGTATAAAAAAACTGCACGCTACAAGCCTTGCTTCCCACCGCCAGAAGCGCCCCTTTGAAAATACCAGCACCTCGTGGGCCTGCTATGCGGGTAGAAAGCCCCGCGGGCTTCTCGTGACGGCCCAGCGAGGCCCCATCAGAGGCACAAGAGACCCCGAGGCGGCTCAACAGACCTCCAGGACGGCCTCAGGGAGGCCCAAGATCAGCCACGCGCAGAGGGGGGTGGGGGGAGGGGGGACGGCTTCTTAGGAGCACCCCTGCTTCTTAAAAGGCGCGGGCCTTATCTGTAGATGTAAGGCCGGCGGCTTCTGAGAAGCAGCCTCCTTTTAAGAAGCCTCCCCCCTCCCCCCACCCCCCTTGTGCGCCCCGCCAACAAGAGGACCCCAAGACGGCCCAAGAGCGTTCAAAGCGAGCCAAGAAGGTCTCAAGACGGCCAGGGGGGGCCTCAAGACGCTGCAAGAGGCTCCCAAAATGGACCCCCGCATGGTGAACATCGCCCCGCTCCTTTCGGAAAACGTACACGTTTAGCACATTCGCTCCTTTGGTCTGATCAGCGTGCAAGACGGCCCAAGAGGCCCCCAATACCGCCCCAAGACGGCCAAGAGGTCCCTAAGACGGCCCAAGTGGGCTTCCGTAGCCATTTTGGCTCTCAAGGTTGTCAGCTAGTTGGCCTCGGTCTGTGCAGAGAAGCTCTCGCCGCCTTAGGCTCTGAGCATGTCTAGCGCCCCGTACCGTGAGATGGGCGAGAGCGACAAGAGTGACCGTTGGGGGGACTTCGGGCGAGACTTCGGGGCCCTCGTACTGCGCGTCGTCGTCAGCCTGACGCTGGTGCACCACGGGCTTCAGAAGTTCCACAACCCTGAGGGCTTCTCCGCAGGGGTCGTGGCCAAGAGCTTCCCGTCGCTGCCCGGGACACCGCTCCTCTGGACGTACGCGGCGGCTGGTATGGAAATCGTGGCCCCAGTCCTCCTCGCCTGCGGCCTGTTTGCGAGGTTGGCGTCGTTCGGTCTCCTGGTAACCATGAGCTTTGCCAACGCCTTCCACTTCATGACCACGGGCATGGAGGGGTATCCTCTGGGTGTGCCTGCTGCCGGCGCGTACGCTTTTGAACCGTCCATGTTGTGCGGAGCCGTCTTCTTCTATTTCATGGTGGCGGGCCCTGGGAAGTGGTCGCTGACTCCCAAATATTAGGCGGCTGGTCTTTTGCAGTGAGCGCTCCCTGGCTGGTCGTGTCGACGAGCCTGGCAGGCCTCAATTTTTCGTGCAGCCTTGGGCTGGACTGCCGCCTTGGTTTGTTTCTGCGGCCCCACCAAGTCCTCACAGTGTGCGCGTGTTCATCCCGTCGCAGTTGGACAAAAAACAAGTGGGCTTCAAGACGGGTCAAGAGAGCCCCAAGAAACCCAAGAGAGGCCCCTGGCCCCTGAGGGTTCCAAAAGGTTCCCAAGAGAGCCCCAAGAAGGCCACAGGAGGTCCCCAAGAGGGCCCCGAGATGCCCCCAAGACGGCCCAAAGAGCCTTCAAAGGACCCCCTGAAAGGCACAGAAATGCAATACGCAGTGATCTTCGCACGGATGCTTGCTGGATTCTTGTATGTCGCACCAAAGCCGCACCAAAGCCTTGACACCAGCAGGGTTCCAAGACACTACGCCAGCGACATCGCGCCCTCACAAAACAGACGCGCTTTCCCTTTCTGGTTGGGCCGTCTTGGGACCCTCTTAGGCCGTTTGGGTGCCCTCTTGGGGGCTTCTTGGGGCGATCTTGGGGGCCACGTTGGCCTTTTTTGAGCGCTAGAAGCCCGAAACGGCGACAACGCTAAAATTTCGCTGTCTGCCTTTTGGAGCTCGGTTGGGCCGTCTTGTAGCTCTTTTGCTTTTGGGCGACCCGGGGCCATCTTGGACCGTCTTGGGGGTCCCTTGAGGCCCTCTTGGCCCGTTTTGAGGCCCTGTCGGCTCCGAGAAAGTCGCGCGAGAATGCTGGAAACGCCCCTGGAAATTCAATAAGTTTGGGACTGGGCCTTGTAATGCGAATTCGCCCAAGTCTGAGGACGGAAGGTTGAGGGAACATGAGGACATTCCAAGTCATGCCTCGCGGCGCACGATGTCGGATGAATTGTAGGAGCTTGAATGCCAACGAAGTCGCAGGCGAAAGCAAATGTTTGAAAAAGAGCCGCCGTCCGTCGGCGCAGTTGTTGGGTCTGTCATGTTTCGGCAGCATGGGCTTGAAGGAAGTCCACGCCGAGAGCTCGATCTTGAACAGGGTTCGCATTCATTAGTGTTCAGTGGTGGCAGTATTACGTGCAATGTCGATCCTTGTCCTTTGTCGTAAAGTTTGCATGGGCGGGGGGGAACAATTGAAAGCGACTTGCCTACCATCCGATGCGCAGCTGGAACTTTCAATTGTGACGGCCGCCAAAGTGAGGAAGTCGCGAACGAGGCTCCCAGACTGCCCATCTAACGCTCTTGGTGGTGCGACGGAAAGGATGAGAGGTGGCCAGAGAGTAGTGTTCAGTCGGGCCTGTCCCTCTACCGAAGGAATCTGCAAACATAGTCTAAAAAATAGTATTGGGGCTGTTTTTGACTATTTTTGCTATGTAGGGGACATGTTTAGAGTATTTTTATTTTTCGCTCAAAATCCCCATGTAGGGGGACACGCCCGACCTATGAGTAGTTACCGCCACCACTCATTCGCCCCTCCCTCCGCCCCTCGCCCCGTCCCCAATGTCCGCTCCCCTCGCCCCTGTCTCTCGCCTCTCTCCACCACACTCCCCACCTCCTCGCAGCCGCCCGACTGGGCGTCGCACTTCAGGACTGAGAAGCGACGCGCTGACTTGGGATCCACTCCCCTCGCCCCTGTCTCTCGCCCATCTCCGCCGCACTCCCCACCTCCTCGCAGCCCGCCGACTGGGCGTCGCATTCCAGGACTGAGAAGCGACGCGCTGACTTTGGACCAGCAGAGCAGAACGGCCGACAGACAACGACCGCGAGCGCCGAGCATGCCGTGTCCAGTGTCTGTGGTGACCCTACAGCGTCGGACGGCCTTCGCCTTCTGTGTGTCCATGCCCGCATTGTTGACGTGGCTTGACACGCGGCCTTCTTCCTCGGGAGACGGACTGTATACCCCACCACCACGTTCCCTCCCTCGCCAGCCAGGTGACGTCACCGTGGCAAATGATAGCAAAGGACGCGAGCGGCCACCCAAGTTCCACCCCGCGTTGCAGGCTGTGGACTGCGCAGGGCAAGTCGGCGGCCAAAGAAGAGCACCCAACTTGGTGGTTGGGCAGGCGAGGCCCCCACCACCACGCATCCACGGGCGCACTTCGGGCCAGCTCCTGGCGAGAGCGGCGCCCCCAGCCTACCCCAGGAGCCGACACGCGCAAGGGTCTAGCCCCCGACCCAATGCCGTGGAGGCTTGGTGGCGGTGTATACCCCCCCCTCCAGACTCAGGAAGAGTCGTGCGACACACCCCAGAAGCCACGCGACCGGCTCCAAGATCGGGGGAATCCAAGAGGGGGGGTGAGGACCATGATATCTTGGTGCTCTAGCCTCAGCGCCGACCACATCCCTAAGTGGGTATTGTGCTGCCGCCACAATCACATGCTGGGACGCTTATGGTTTGCATCTTGGAGGGGTTGTCCGGAGATTTGTTTGATCCGATTTGCTCATTGAACATACGGTGGGGGCGTTGGTTAAGAAATGCGCCCAGGAGGCTGCAGACCCTGGATAATTCCTTATCTGATGAGGGCAGCGGTGACATCCATGGCCCAGCTTCGATGGGAATTTGTCTCATGAATTGTTGCATGCACGGGTTCGCCCTCGAAGCGTTAAAAAAAAATAATGCCCCAACCGCAGTAGGGGTTTGTGGATATCATGGTTGGGGCCACCATCTTTCCCAGATTGTGAGGGCCTGACGGCCGGCGCCGCCGACCCTGAAAGACATCGACAACGACCAGGAGGGGGAGGATCAGGAGAAGGAGGAGGAGGAGGAGGAGGAGGAGGAGGAGGAGGAGGAGGAAGAGGCGAGGAGGAGGAGGAGAGGAAGGAGGATGCGGAGGAGGACTCCCTTCCGGGACCCCCCCACCGTCTTTCCCAGATTTCGCGGCCCCCTCTTCCTCTTTCAATGCGTTCCGCGCACACGCTTCGGGCCACGGTGTGCGCACCTCCCCCCCCCCAGTCTTCTGGGCGCCCTCGCTGGTGGACCCGAAAGCAGGCACGCGGAGAGCCGGAGAAAACATCGGGGACTCCTCCTCCCTCCTCCCTCCCCCCTCCCCTCTCCCCCCTCCTCCCTCCTCCCTCCTCCCTCCTCCCTCTTCCCTCCTGCTCCTCCTCCTCCCCTCCCCTTTCCTCCTCCTCCTCCTCCTCTCCTCCTCCTCCTCCTCCTCGTCCTCCTCCTCCTCCTTCCTCCTCCTCCTCATCATCCTCCTCATCCTCATCCTCATCCTTCTCCTCATCCTCATCCTGCTCCTCCGCCTCTTCCTCCTCTCCTGCTCTCCTCCTCCTCCTCCTCCCCCTCCTCCTCCTCCTTCTCCTCCTCCTCCTCCTCGTCCTCCTCCTCCTCCTCCTCTCCCTCCTCCTCCTTCTCCTCCTCCTCCTCCTCATCATCATCATCCTCTCTTTCCTGCGGCGGCTTGCGGCCCCTAGCCGCTGCGGCCGCTCGCCGGCCGCCGCCGCCTCGGCGCAGCCGCCCGCTCGCGACGCCGCTGCGCCGGCCGGCATGTGTCCACCGCGCGCGCCGCCGCCGCGACGCGGTCCTCCTTGGGGCGCTTCGCGCCAGGAGAGCCGCCCCCCGTGAGGGTGTCGGAGTTCGTCCAGGCCTTCGGGGCTGGCGACGCCTGGGAGCACCTCGACCCGGAGCGGCGGACGCCGTCGGCCCTCGGGGCTCTCCTCCTCCTGCTCCTCCTCCTCCTCCTCCTGCTCCTCATCATCCTCCTCCTGCTCCTCCTGCTCCCCCTCCTCCTCCTCCTCCTCCTCCTCCTCCTCCTCCTCCTCCTCCTCTCCTCTCTCCTCCTCCTCCTGTTCCTTCTCCTCCTCCATCTCCATCTCCATCTCCTCCTCCTGCTCCTCCTCCTCCTGCTCCTCCTCCTCCTCCTCCTCCTACCCCTCTCCTCCCGTGCCTCTCCCACCTCCTCGCTCTCCTCCTTCTCCTCCCCCTCCTCCTCCTCCTCCTCCTCCTCCTCCTCCTCCTCCTCCTCCTCCTCCTCGTTCTCCTCCTTCTCCTCCTCGAGTCAGTGCAAACGGGGCCAGTCAGAGCGCCAGATCTTGCAGGATCCTTTGGGGCCAGGGTCGCATTCACCCGGGTTCTGACGCAGGATCCTGCAAAGCCTGACTGGCCTGGGTTTGGATTGACCCAGGTCAGGAGATCCCCGAGGCCCCGGGAATGACAGGGCTTCGTGTAGCGCTCAGTCAGCCCCCCCAGGTAGTGCCAGCTGGCGTCAACAAGCACCCCGAGTAGCCGCAGCTGGCCTTAGCAAGCCCCTCCGAGTACTCCGGGGCGGGCTCAACACCTGAACCCTGGGGCGCGGAGCGTCCCAGGGGCGCCGCTGGAGGCGGCGCCATGGTATTGAGATCGCCCCGGACTATTCGAGTGGCCTGATGAGGCCAGTTGGGACTCTTCGGCGGGGCGTGTTGGGGCCAGCTGGGACTACCTTTAAGTCGAGCATGTCCCTCCACAGGAGGAATGCTCAAAAATAGTGAAAAATAGATGGGGGCGATGTTTCTATCATGTTTTGAGTATGGTTGAGCATGTGTTGATTATGTTTGATTGTTTCTCCAAAAATCCGCCTGTAGGAGGACATGCCCGACCTAAGACTACCTGAGGGGGCTGTCTGTGCGCAGCCCGAAGCCGTACCACCCAGGAGGCAGGCGATCGCAAACATGGATAAAGGGGGCGTGGATTAGCGACGGGTCCCGTTTCCATGGGAGATCGCGGATTTCCGCCGCCGATCGAGGCGGCACCGGCCGCTTTTTTGGGGGAGGGCACCTCCCCCGATCCATGCATTTGGCGGCCGCGCGCCAAACCCACGGATCGCTAATCCATGCTTGCGCGCCCCCGACAGGAGGAGGAGGGAAGTCCAGAGTAAACCCAAGATGCATCAACGATGCTGCAACACACCCTCCCGTCCCAAGTCTCCTCTTTTTAACATCTGTTTTTGATATACAAAAACTGCACGCTACAAGCCCTCCTTCCCACTGCCAGGAGCGCCCCTTTGAAAATACCAGCACCTCGCGGGCCTGCCACGCGGGCAGACAGCCCTGCGGGCCCCTCGGGACGGCCCAGCGAGGCCCCCCCAGGAGGCGACCGCGTGTCACATCCATTGGGCGCTAATCCATGCTTGCGCGCCCCCGACAGGAGGCGCAGGAGGCGGAGGAGGAGAAAGAGGAGAAGGAGGAGGAGGAGGAGGAGGAGGAGGAGGAAGAGGAGGAGGAGGAGGAGGAAGAGGAGGAGGAGGAGGAGGAGGCGGAGGGCGAAGAGCCAGCGGGCGAGGGCGAGGGGCGAAGAGCGCTGCGGCCCGCGGCGGCAGTGTCCGCGGGCGCGCCGATCCCCGGGGTGTCACAAAGTCCCCTGTGGGTTCAAGTCGGCCGTGTCTTTCTCCACAGCTGTGGAGGACGATGAATGGAGAGGAAGCATGTTGCCAAATAATTCCCAGATGTCTGGAACATGTGTTAAACATGCTCTCGCATGTAAACAACAGGTTTAACACGTGTGTGTAACGTGTGTCCTGCAGCTGGCACACGTTCTTTGAACTTCCATGACAGGACTGTTAGGGTGTCCATTGTCGTGGCACCCACAACTCTACAGGAGGAAAATTGAAAAATACCCAAAAGATAGTCCTGGGACAATTGTTTACTAGTTTTGACCATTTGGGATCGTTTGATGACTATCCTTCATTGTTTGCCCAAAATCCCCCATGTAGGAGGACACGCCCAACCTAACCATTGATGGAACCCTGAGCAAGGGGTGGCGGAGATCCAGGCCGCTCACGTGGGGCGGCAGCAGATGGGGTCCAGGATTGCGCAGTGCATCGGCGATGCGGCGCGATCCTGTGCCGAATTCCTCCATCTTGGCGTCGCCGATGCATCGGCGATAAGTCGGCGATGCGATGCGATCCTCCGACCCCGTCCGCTCGGGCCCCTGTTGGGCGGCCGCCAGGGAGAGGCCACTGGGCCCAGCGCTGAAGAAAGCATCCCTCTCAGAGTGCTGCCGACACGACAGGCCGGCGCCGCCCTCTGCTTTCTGAACCCGCACCGCGCAGGACAGGCGGCGTGTTTGCGCAGCACACGTGCCGCTCGAGCATGTGTGCAGGCCGAGCTGCTCCTTCATCATCGCGAGATCTATCCCATCCCGACTGGGCTGGGAAAGCCCTCCCTGGGGACAGACGCCCTCTCCATCGGGTTTCACGGCATCCATCCCCAGCCTCGACGGGGCAGGCTGGTGGTTCTGAGGAACCCTGGCCTGCTGGGGATTTGGATGGGTCCAAAGATGCTGACCCTCATACTGCCTCATCCCTCCTCTCTCCTCCTCCTCCGCACCCCGCTAGCCAGGACGTGTCGGGAATAGCTCGATTGAATTGCCCGAGGCATCACGCCCAGAGCTCGCGACCAGGCCATCCTGATGATCGTCAACTCGCTTCGTGATCGGTCTTCTCTCATTTCATCGTAGCTTATCCTCTCTCCTCTTCGGCCCCCGCCCCGTCGCCCTCGGCCCCATGCCCGACCGCTCCAGGCTCCTGTGTTCTCTTTCTCGTTCTCTCTCTCTCTCTCTCTCACTCCCTGGGCATCGCGCCTGCGGGCACCACATGACTGGCGCACACGACGACGAGAAGCGACGATGATGACGATGATGATGATGATGTTGATGCTGATGTTGATGATGATGATGATGCTGATAACGATGATGATCACGACGATGATGATAATGATAAAGATGAGGATGAGGATGCGGATGAGGATGTTGATGCTGATGCTGATGGTGATGGTGATCGGGATGGTGGTGATGATGTTGTTGTTGATGATGATGGTGACTGTGATGATGACGGTGATGGTGGTGGTGATGGTGATGGTGTCGATGGTGACGATGATGATGATCACGATGGTGAGCATGCTGATGATGCTGATGATGATTGTGACGAGGAGGCGGATGAGGAGGAGAAAGCGGGAGATGAGATCGAGGATGTATATGATGTCGTGATTACGGTGAGATGAAGATGATGGTGATGGTGATGATGGTGGGGATGAGAATGATGACGGTGGTGATGTTGATGCCGATGCCGATGCCGATGCCGATGAGCGTTGGTGATGATGGTAGTGATGTTGATGTTGTTGATGGTGTTGATGATGATTGTGACCATGAAAAGGACGCGAATGAGTCGACCTACGCAACACTAATCAGCACATGGGGATGGGGCTGCTGATGATGAGGGTGATGAGGATGATCATTGTGGAGGTATGATGGTGATGCATACTATGATGATGATGATGATGATGATGATGATGATGATGATGATGATGATGACGATGCTTATGATGGTGATGACGATGATGATGCTGATGATGATGCTGATGATGATGCTGATGATGATGATTATGATGATGATGAACATGATAATGATGCTGATGATGATGCTGGTGGTGATGGTGATGGTGACCGTAATTGTGATGGTGATGGTGATGGTGATGGATTCCCAAATTGGAGCGTTTCGGTTTCAGCGACGTGTTCGTCTCGGGCGCCTCATTTTCAGTTCCGATGCTTCCACACAGTTGGGCACGAGGAGTGGGCACGAGTGGGGGATAGGAGGAGAGGAGGAGGAGGAAGAGGAGAAGGAGGAAGGACAGAGGAAGGGGCAGGGGGGGAGGAGCAGGAGGAGGAAGATGTGCAGGAGGATGACCAGGAGGAACAAAACTGTTCCGCGTACCTCGCGATGTTACGTACGAGTCCTCGCTTGACAGACCCTGGAAGCATGACCAGTTGATGACGAACAGCGTCTTGAAACAGCCTGAGTTTAACATTTTCGAGCCCAGCTGAGCTCCGTGTCTGAAAATCCTGAGCGCGTCTCGGAGGTTTCTTGGCAGCGCTCTCTAGCAAAAAAAGTCCTCACCCTCCTCCTCAATCATTATCTGTGCTCCCGTCTCCCTCCTTCTCCTCCCTCCTCATTTCTCCCTCCTCCGTTCCCGCCTTTCTCCACTATTTGTCCTTCTCTTTCTTTTTACCTAACAGCGAAGACTGATAGGTTTCTAGTGGTCTCAAAAGAGAGCAGCAGATGACTCCACAGGGGGGTCTGGGCGGGTGCCGGACAGGGTGCCGCAGAACTCATTTTAAGCCAACAGTCACACACTTCGTGCTCTTCGACTTCCCAGAACTCCATTCCCGGGCCACATTCCTGAATGCCCGAGCCAGCTGTAGGCCACTTCGTGCTCTTTTCGATTTCCCTCCACGCCATTCCCGGGCCCGGGCCACATTCTGAATGCCCGGAGCCAACTGTAGGCCACTTCGTGCTCTTCGAGTTCCCAGAACTCCATTCCGGGGCCACATTTTGAATGCCCGGAGCCAACTGTAGGCCACTTCGTGCTCTTCGAGTTCCCAGAACTCCATTCCCGGGCCACATTTTGGATGCCCGGAGCCAACTGTAGGCCACTTCGTGGTCTTCGAGTTTCCAGAACTCCATTCCCGGGCCAGATTTTGGATGCCCGTAGCCAACTGTAGGCAACTTCGTGCTCTTCGACTTCCCAGAATTCTCATTCCTGGGCCACACTTTCAGCAGGGGCAAGAGCACGACGAGGAGGAGGACGAGCAAGACCAGGAGGACGAGGACGAGCAGGAGCAGGACGAGGAGCAGGAGGAGCAGGAGAAGAAGGA